TTTTTTTTAAAATCTAAATAATCTAAAAACTGAAAGATCAATTAAATACTTATTTTTATAATACAGTTGTGCAAAGTTTCACTTCTACATCAGAATTTGTTTTTTTTTTAATTTTTTCTATATTATAAAAATAACAAAATATCACGCTATCATTTAAAATTCATTCAGTTGTAAGTATTATTTTTTTCATATAACATATGAAATTATGCATATATAGTTATGTTTTTGGATATCCTTATTTTGTATCCTTTTAACTTTTATTTTATTACGTGCTTCATGCAAAATAGTTTTCTATTGTACTTTTCATATTATAAATTATGCATATAGTATAAACTTAGGTTTTGCTTAGCTGCTTTTACATAATATTGTTAAAGCCTTTGATAGTTGGAAATATTACTTTCTAAATTACCATTTGATATACATGCTTAATATTTAGTTTACATTCACTTATAATTTCATACATAGAATGTAATTCAGTAATTGTGAAATATCACTGGTTCTGTATATCCTAAAGATAGAATAAAATTTTACACAACTTTCTCATTTATTAATTTATAATAAATTTTGTAATAAAATTAAGTAAAGAAAATTTTTTGCAAATTGAATTATTTTAGTGTTCCTAATTGATATCAAGTACTTTATATACTTAGCTATATTACTATTATTTTAATATTATTAAAGTTTAAGTTTGAAAACTTTACCGATGTCAATTATTATCATTCAAATTATAATTAAAAGGGTTATTTATACATATTTAACTATATTTTACATGTAGTATGAAAATTTCCAATTTATTGTGTACAACTACATCTTAACAATTTCATATTTTGAAAAGAAAAAATTAATAAAATACAAATATAAAAATGAAATAATAATTATTATGCTGTAAGAATTCAAAGTAACTGAATAATAGTTACAATCTACAGGTAATGTTAAAACTTACAACTGAATTGAACTAGTTCTTATTTTAAAGTGTTGTTTTAGATATTCCGTTATATATCGCTGTTATCCAGGAACCAGGCACTTCTCCAGAACGTCATTTGCACAATTTGCAAAAATCAATGAGAGTTTTCTGGAAAAAGTTTAGTGTCATTCCGTCCGTTAGTTCGCCTATTCGTCCGTTTTAACCTATCGAGGTCCTTATAATGCCATTTTTTGATTAGTCTTTTGACAAAACCACAAGTATTTTTGAAATTCTGCAAACTCAGAAAAGTTGTGTTGGGCTTCTTCTACCGCGGCATAGCACGATACAATATAAAAAAAAAAAATGTTGCTAAAATTAACGGTTATCTAAAATTTTTGTTTTTGCAAATTTATAATCTCGTCTTTCTTCTAGACAAATAAGTTGTACGAATATAAAATTTTCATTTTAGAAACTTTTAGATATTAATAAATGATTTACTTCGTTAGAGAAATTTTTTTCCACATTCACCCCTTCTCGCGTTATAGTCTCTCGAATTTTGTAAAAATTTGAATTTTCGACATCTTATTTTTCCGAATCTTGCATTCTTTTTTAAAATTCTATAAATGCAGAAAGGTAAAGTTAAATTATATATAAATGCCATAATTATATAAATAAATGTCATCAAAAAGTATAATTATTTTTTTAACTCACGCTGTTAACTCTAAGATTGAAGCATTACGTTATTTTTTTTAATATTTTTTTCTCCCATCCTTAATGTATGCAATCTTTAAAATATTTAGGTATATGAGTAATTTTAATAATGTAATATTATTTTTTAAAGCAGTATTTTCAATTGTTGAAGGGAAAAGTGCTAGATGAATAGTTACGTGTTAAAAATTACTGATTTTGATAAAAGGTAAACAAGGAAGAAAAGAGAGATTTTTAATTATAAATTATAATACATCTACTGACACGAGTTGTTTCATTTGCATAGCACCTCATTTAAAATGTTTATGTCCTTGAAATGTTCAATTCCAATTAAATAGTATGTAATCAAATTTTAATAAAAATGACATTTCTTGTTCTAAAAACTGTTGTTCGAAGCACAACCTTAAAAGTTATTTCTACTCTCGAGCTAATTTTATACCAAAATATTAAAAGTATCATAATAGATCCAAGCAAAACAGAAAAACCTATTCTTTTAATAACTATTATTACAAAATATATTTTAAATAATAATTATCACAAATTTCCACCTTTATGAAAAAAACAATCGTTATAAGACTTAACATTGTTATTAGAGTAATATTAATTAATATTTAATTATATAATACAGAAATTTCTATTCGACACACCTTTCAGTATCTGTACAACAATGAATTTTAACCAATAATTAATTTTTACGTTGATTAATTCGATGAACGTATAGTGCATACAGTAGCACTTCTATTTTTTCACTCCTTTTTGTTTTTGCCAATAATTAATGTCCATACTTTTATTATATCATGTGTAACATCATCATAACTCTTTAATTCTTATATGCATACCAAATTTACATATAAGCTACATGTTAAAATAAATTACACTCTATTAGTCTAATATATATTGGGACTACATACACACTTTCGTGTAATAACTTACACAAATATAAAATATTATACGTATTATAAAAATTTTAAAATACTATGAATTTTATGTTATGAAAAGTACATTGGGCACTAACAAATCTAGTGAACATGATGCTCACACTAAGAAATTTATTCATACTTAATTTTTAATAAATTTAATTTAAAATTTACAGTTACAGGAGATTACAGTGACAGGAGATAGGAAGTACTTTAACGTATATTTGTACCGTTGACTTTAGCTACACTACATATTAATATTCACAATGCAATTAATAAAAATGAACCTAAATTATGGTTTTTAACTAGTAAAATATATAAGAATTTTCGATATTAACAAATAACCGGAGAACATTAAAATATTTTGCAAATAAAATGAAAACACGATATTAAAAGTAACTCAGTACCAAAATATTTTCATATAAATTCGCCTTGAATAGCAAAATTTTTATTTCTTATACGTTTTTGTTTATGTCATTTTTATTTTTATAATAAATTGTGTAATAAATTTTACACGAGTAAACAATAAAATAGAATAATGTTATCAAAATGACTTACCTATGTGTTAGAACTTAGTATTATTGAATAACTTTATATAAATTTTTATTACAATACACATCCTAACTAATTTATTTGTATATAAATAGTGCATAATATCGCTAAGTCACGTATAAGAAATCTTGACCATTTTAGCAATATCTCCTGCGCAGAAATGATTGAATAACAAGAATTTTCATTGAGATTCGTATATATGTATATCCGTTTTTGATTTCAAATATTGCAGAATAATTTTTCATTAATAAACCAACTTCTGCAAAATTACTCTGTTGTAGCCCTACACGTTGAAAAAATTATGACTATCAGAGTTCGTTGCACTGTATGCTTAATACTTAGTTTTTGAGGCATGGTCAAAGTACTTTTAAATTTTCGGCCCTTAAAACTGAATACAATATTATTAAAATTTCAGAAAGTGGATATTAAATACAGCATGAACAATTTACAAAATTTTGCAATACTTGAAATTTCCATTAAAAAAAAAACAATAACAAAAATTTTCCAAGATAGGTAAAAGTTAAAAAAAAATAAAAAATATTTCTCGAAATCAGGTTTTTATACAACGTTGAACTTTTCATATAAACTATCGAAATACAGTATGTCCTCGTTTTACGACGGCAATATTTTCCGAAAAACTGCATCTTAAATCGAATCGTCGATAAACACCGTTTTGTTTTTTAATTATATTCGTACACATACACGTGTACATATAATAGAAAATTACATTTTTAAAAGTAATATAAAAACATATGTACGTTTATGGATGAATATATGTCATGTCAAATAATTATATTTATATACATTAATACATGCTATACATTTTTTTATCACTTTGTTTAACAGCGTCGTAACTACAAATAAAAGTCGTTGTGCGAATTAATAAGTTTTAAGACAAAGACGTCATAATCCAAATCATCGTATATCAGTTGCGTCGTCAATCGAGAATTGAAGTTTTTAAAAAGTTTCCTCGTTATGGAAAAGGTGATAAAATTTTTCAAATATCCTTAAATCTTCTAAAGCAAGTGAGGCAACTATGATAATCAATTTTATGTAAAATTTTATATTAAACTAAAAGTGAAATAGAATTAGATCTAAAATATGAAATCGTGAGAATAACATTATTTTATGTATCACTTCAGATACTTAAAGTTAACCGGGAAAACAATATTTTTTAATAATTACTGAAACAAAGTAGAAATTTATTTCTTATGACCTGCAGAAACTATTCTCGAAAGATATAAATAATCAATTTTTAAAAAACCTTTTTTAAACTTTCAAACTTTTAAAACCTAATAAAAAACGCTCTATAACCTCAGACAAGAAAACGAATTTCGGATTCTTAGAATTTTAACTAAAAGCAGATTTTGACAATAACTAGGAAAATAATTATTTAATATTTTTCATATTCATTCAGTGTTTAATTAGGCATTAAATTAATAAGAAAAAAATATGAATATAAAAACAATGTGTATATAATCCAACATAATAAGAATCTATGTACTTTGAATATATTTGAAAATCAAGCAAAATGAAAAAAATCCAATAAGTCTAAACGACATTAATTAGAACCCTTACATATATATAAACGGAAGCCTTATATGTATATTTAAACATAAATCCTTTAATAAAAAATGCTTATTGATTGTTTTTCATAAAATAATACTAAGCAAATTTACCTAAATTGTTTTTCGGGTAAAATAAATTGATTAAAAGTAATAAATTAAACAAATTGATTTTAAACAATAAATTTTGGAAATAAATACGTTTCATTGCTACATTGTCATGATTTTGATATTAATTTAGATGAAATTTATTATTACAAGATTAAAAAACATTAATTTAAAAAATTTTGAATTGAAAAAACTTTGAATAATTCATCTAATGATTTTATTTTTCGTTTTTATTTACAGAGTTTATGTGCTGATGATAATTGCGGCAAGATATTGGCCGCAACACAACAACAGCAACAACAACAACAAAAAGCACAGGAAAGTTCAACCAATTTACGAATACAAAGTAAAACAAGAAATCGCTTATCGCCACGTCCATCACCAAATATTGGAACACAGCGTAAAACCGTTACTGAGAACGGTACAAAGACAAAGGGGGCCATGCGTGAGGCTTTTCCTAGCCTCCCGTTTGGTACCCCGGGATTGGAAACAATTAGAGACAATAATCTTGAGCCAACAACACCAACAGCTGAACAACAAGAACAACAAGAATTACAACAAAATTATAAAAAAACAACAACAATATCACATCCCTCATATTATCAATCATCATCATCTTCAACATTATTATCAACATATCAACAACAATATACAAATTCAACAACATTATCAAGCGGAGGACAGTTATCAAATCCAATTACACAAAGTAGTACCGGTGTTGGAATTAGTTCATCGGCCGGAGGCACAACAACAATATCGTCATCAGGAACAAATAGTTTTAATCAACAACAACAGGGATCAACTACGGTAGATTTAGCACAAATAAGGGAAGAAAGTAACATTTCAACCCCATCTAGAATAATTGAAAGGGAAAGGGACAGTGGCGTGTCATTGGATAGCTCAGAAGGTATATTAAACCAAATATTGTACCTTGAAATACGTCAAATTTTAAGATAATTCAAGGCCGCCTTTTCGTCTTTTCGGTATATCGATGGTGAAGAATTTTTTGCTTGGGCTTATACGCGGAAAGTTGCCAGAATTCTCGTTTGTTAAATAACAATGCATAGAAAGCAAAATATTTTCCAAATTTCTTAAACGCATAAATGTCTTTTAAATGCATAACATAGAAAAAATCTTACAAAATTTTTAATGCTTTTAAGATGAAATTTTACTTTTTTATTCAAATTTATTTATTTTTCCACTTTTAGAAAAATCTTACTGATTCTTATGTATTGAATTTTTTATACCCAAATATAAATAAGCGAGTTAATGGCTATAATTTAGATTTATTTTTCCTTTAAATAAATTGTCATTATATACATCTGTTTATACTAGAAGCCCTATTTTCTAAAATCCAAAAATAGAATTTTTATTTTAATTTGGTTGCTTTTTGTATTAATCTACCTAACCGAAAAAACCTCTATACATATTATGACCTCAACTTATTCAAGCAATGTACATAACTTTCTATCTACACAAATAATCTGCAAGGATATTTTTTGCTTTAATTAAAATTTTTTCTTAGCTCCCTCTATCTTTAGTAATCATTCTTTAAACAACATCGCAGGTATTGTTTTCACACCAAATTCAGTTTTCTTCTACGAGTTTCTTTAAAAATATATTTATTTGCGATATCTTTATGAGTGGAAAATTTAGTTATCAAATAATTACGACAAGTTAAAACGCAAATTAGTTGTAAAATCTTAGACAAATTAATTATCTAACTTTCTCAGAATTTCGAATGTAACTTTCGGATCATTTTGCTTATGGTTACAAAATTTATACATTATCTTCCATGTATTGCTCACATCAAATTTTTTTATAGAATTTTGCGTCCTTCAACATAATGAGAAAACCTATTTTGTCAACATGAAAGCATAAATGAAAAAAAAATTTGCTATTATACTTGCTACCTTTTCAGGTTTTTAAATATTTTTACCGTCCTTTGCCAACTTATCCACATTTTAAATTAACAAAAAATAAGTTCTAAAATTTTTAATCTATGTATGAGAATTTTAGTAAAAAAAGAAAGCAAATTAAAATTTTAGTCTTATTTTTCATTCTCTCTTTTTGTTTTGCTTTTATATAAGAAAATAAGGATTCATCTCGTTAAAATATAATGTTTACCATTCTTCAGTTTTTTTTTCCTATTGAAAGGTAAACTTAAATCTTTCTTTCCTTATATATTCTCATAAGGATTCTTTAAAAATAAGGACTTCTTTTTCATGTTTTATATATCGTTCCATGTAGACTTAAAACTTATAATTTATTCATTACTGGAAATTTTTCAAGAAGTTTTATTTATATTTTAAAACAATTTAAATATCTTACTATATTTAGATTTTATAAGTTAGTTGCAGTTACGAACGAAAGACAATTTATGAACAGGTCCTTTTCTTGTTTCCAGTAGTGAAAATTTTTTGTTTTTTTGTTGAATCGCTTTATCAAATCGGAGTTTTTAGTAATTTTACAAGGCAGTGTTATGTAAATTGGAGCTTAAAATATAATGTGAGTAGAATTACAGATGGTTGTAATAATAAAAATAATTAACAATTTCAAACATTTACCGTTTATTATAGATTGTTATATTGCATTATAATCGCAAATTATTGCATTTCACATAAAGTCTTTTCTAAAGACTTTGAAAACCACAACCAAATTTATGATAGTTCATTATTTTTACTATACAATCTTGTAAAAATTTTACGAAATTCAAAAACAAAAAATACAATTGCTTTTAAAATTAATTATACAACATACAAAAAAAAATTCAACATCAAATACCAAAAGCACACATTAAATACTATGACATCACCCTCACGTCCATGTTGTAACTAATATAAAATATAATGTAGCAGATGTAATACAATTAAATTAGCAGAAACCCGCTGATTTATGCTTTTCTTTATTTCAGTTAAAAAATTGAAATCGACTTTAAATTCAATTACTTACAATTTAATACAATTTTTTTTTTTAATTTTTTTACAAATTTAGAAATTACAAGTTCCTTTATTTACCTTTTAAAACAATATTTCCAAAGTAAGTGCAGCAACTTTGTATTGCAAAACCTTTTAATAAATGTCACAAAATAATAAAATCCACTCAATTCGAACTTATTAATCTATGACAATATACGTCAATTCTATACTATCTATCACTAGATAAATTATACAGAACAACATACGATACATACGTACGTACATTTAGTATACTCTACAACATGCGTACATTTAGTATTTAATCTGCAACCTAAAGGTTGAGAATGTAGATTCATAATTGATTCTTTCACAACCTTACACAATCACACAAAGATAACTGATATGGTTAATTCGGAAAAAAGTAACTCCCAAAAAAAAAAAAAAAACACAGAATACTTAAAAATCTTCTGCCTGTTATTGATGAATTGCTGAATAAGGACTTTTTGCCTGTTTTTTCTTTTGTATTCAATCTTTTTTTTAATGATTTCGAATTGAATGAATCCCCAATTTATTATTTTTTCTTTCCCAATTTTCACAAACATAAAATATAAACACAGAAAAGAAGAGTTTCAATAACATCATTCATTAATTTTGCGAATGATAGCATGAAATTCTAAATGATTACGGTACATAAAGAATTTTACAAAGCTAGATGGGTGGTATAGAGTCAATAAAATTACAATAAAAATTATTATTTGCAGTAATAAATAAAGTTTTAGTTCGTTCATAAAGTAAGCATTTATTTGGGAAATTATTATCACACGAAAACAATTTTTTAAGAATGTATATTTTAATTAGAATATTAGGCTAATTCATAAACAAATGTTGCTAATCAAGTTTGTTCATTAACATTGCTAATCTATCACAAAAATATTAAATTATTATGGCTAGTGCAGTTAAATCAGTTTATGAACAGAAATAAAGCACAGTTCTCGCTATATATCGCGTTACGACGCGTTTATAAAAAAGCCTTACTGCAAGTTCGAAATAGCTAAAGTTTTTATACAACTGTCAAAAATATATTGCGTATGTATCACATTATTGTACTGCAGTATTTGGTTTATGAAAATGCCTATTATTTTAGTTTTTACCAAAAAAAATTTAATTTCTTTTATTGAATTTCGTTCTTTTATTGTAACATTATAACATTTTGGTGTCTAGGTTAGGTTAGGTTAGATTGTCGCGGCTCCGCGAAGTGTACACATAGGCCAACTAGGCCCGTTGTGGTACTGCCGGATATCTTCCCTCCCGCTCCTCATTAGAACCAGCCCAAACCCCTCCCAACCCTTTTGGTACCTATATTAAATATATCACATTCACCACGTTCTAAAATAAAATATGTAATGGTGATTTTTGTATAGTTACTACACACATTTAAATACGTATAATAATAAAAAATAAGCAAAATTGAAGTTTTCGAATATCCGAAGGCGAATACAGATTTTCTTATCTAGAAAAACCGGCATAATATGATTACCATGTTAAATTGAAACGTTACAAACGGTAAGGCAAATTTAGTATACCCTTCGAACATGCGTTCTATTTCGTTATACTAAATTTGCCTTACCGTTTGTAACGCTAAGAAATAACGGTGTTAGATATAGACTCAAGTATATGTTTTTGATCAGCGTCAAATTCTGAGTTGATTTAGCTTTGTCTGTCCGTCCGTCCGTCCGTCCCAACGATAACTCAAAAACTAATTGAGCTAAATTTACCAAATTTTCACAAATGATTTATTGTAATAAGTGCCAGAACCCTATTTAAATTGGACATGATCGGGGCACCGGTTCGGGTAGCTGCCATACAACTTAAAAATTTATTTGACTATATCTCAGAAACTATAAAAGCTATGGTATTGAAATTTCACACAAACGAATATATTAGTAGGGCCAATGTGTCTCCTAAAAGTCGTTGAAATTACTTGGCTCCTTCTGATACCTGCCATACAACTTCAAAAGTTATTTGGCTTTATCTCAGAAACTATAAAAACTATAGTATTGAAATTTCACACAAACGAATATATTAGTAGGGCCAATGTGTTTGATAAAACTCGTTGAAATTGCTCGGCTCCTTCTGGTAGCTGCTATACAACTTCAACAGCAGTTTGACACACACAGTATTTTGAAAAATACAGTACTGAAATTTTGCATAAATTAATATGCGGCAACTTAAAGTCATAGTCTGTCCCATAGTCAGTTATGGCATCTTTATTCGCACATAGGATAACAAATTCGTACGGGTATCATAGAGTTGACAAGGTCAACTCTATTTTTTGCTCGTTTTTATTTAATACACACATATTCATACACACACATTTCTTACTTTTTTGTTGATCATATAGAATATTCAGAAAGAAATTTATGGAATCATAATAAGGTGACCGTTTGTCGTAATTGTTAGATGACAGCTCCCTACTTCAACTTACCGTCATCTTTTAGAATTCAATCTTGTTTATACTAAAAAATTAATTTCAGTAATTAATACTAAAAAAATTGAGCGCCAAGAAGATAGAGCGCCACTCTTACGCTTACTGCACAACAATAATTGTAAAATTACTTTCTTCATGACATATGATAGTACATACACAGATAGAATTTTTATTAATTGTCGATTTCCAAAAACAAATATGAATTGCGAGGACGCATGTAACATCAGCAATTCGTTTCACATCTAATATTTTAATTTTTCTTTTTCATTGCTCAAAACCTGTTAACCTTAGATAATATCCATAAAAAAAAAATCATATTCAAAATTTATATAACTGCATTCTTAAATTTACAAATTGATTTATCTGATAATACCCCAAATGCATCCTCAAAATCATTTTACTAATTATCATTTTACTAATTAATCGGATAAAAATGTTAATGTTAATTATTTATTTGCAGATATATTTGTTCTTATAAGAATAGTGGTTTGGTCAAACACA